ATACATATAATAATTAACCATTAATGTTATAGATAGTATAAGTGTTGAATTTTAACTCTTTAGAATTCTAAGGGCTAACTTGGAATTAAAGTATTCATAAGTGAAAACTTTTCAAATTCCAAAACTTGAGGGCAAGTTTTGAAACTATTCAAAACTAATTAATTCCATAACTTATGTGTTTAAAGTAGTTTTAATCCAAAAAACTCTTCAAGTTCCATAACTTATGGAAGACTTTAAACTAATAAAAGAATTAACTTTTCTTTATTTTTTATAACTTATGCAATCAATTAAGGTTACATTATTATTTTTTATTTATTTATTTAATGAAGAGACTCTTGGTCCTCCATAACTTGAGGATAAATTATGGAGTCATAACTCCAATTAACTAGAACTAGACTCTTCATTTTTTTTGTAACCTTTGCCAATTTTATGAGTTTTATGAGTCTTTAATGTGACTCTTCATGTAACTTGAGGACAAGTTACACAAACACATTTTATACTCAACTCTTAGATTAAAATGGATTGAAAACAACTATTTCAATTAACTTTTCTATTAATCTAAGCAACTCATAAGAACAAGATAATTCAAATCAAACTTTCTCATGTAATTAGTCTAAACCTTAAACTAATACAAAACATGACTCTATTGACAATTATCTTTGAAAATGGATTAGCATGAACATTACCACATTAAAAAACAAGTTTATAAGTTCAAAAACAACTTAGGGTAATGTTCCTAGTCCATTTCTAGCCAAAAACCTCGAAAATATGTTGTCTAGGGTCCAACTCGTCGAGTGCATGAACATAACTCGGCGAGTTGGATGCATTTTTCCTTGGACTCGTCGAGTCCCTTCATGGAATCGGCGAGTCAGCTGGGCTGACAGCACCAATTTCGATTTTTTCAGCTTCTATTGCAGGTATAACAAGAAAACAAACCTAGGCTCTGATACCACTGTTGGGTTTTGAGCATTCTAACACTCCTAAGTGTACATGCAACCCTAAATACCTTGGATCTATGTTTTCTCTATTATACATGCAATAAGAATATCCAAGGTATTATCCTAATCTAGCATAAAAAACAATGAGTGTAACAAGATAGAATACATACCTCTTTGATGTAGAAAGTCTTCATGAAGCTTGAGTGCCTAGCCCCAATAGTGTGGAAGCCTCAAATGGAATCACAATCATCAAAACACTTAGAATAACTTGAGAGAGTTCTACACTTCATGAAATCGGCTAGCCCTCTTCTAGAATAATACTAGTGGCCGATTTTTGTCAAGAATAAGATCTTTATATAGTGTTACAATTAGGGTAAATCCTTAATTGTCATGGCTTTCCATTTCCTTGGATCCATGGGTTCAAATACACCATGGACCATCCAATGGGTTTTAGCCCAACTTGATTATCCATGGAGCATTAGCCCACTATATAAGTATGGATGATTTACACAATCAACCCATATATTTAATTAGTCTTCTTTTGATCACTTAATTAATCCTAGATTAACTCTTGATCAATACTAATTAAATAATCTTATTATTCTTATTATTAATATACTAGAACTTATAATATATTAATAACCATAAGTGTCTTATTTCTCTCATTATAGTCTATCCAAGTGCATGATGGTATGCAACCCAAATGGACCATGCCGGGTCGGGTCAAGTCTTACCAATTATAGTTATGGACTTAGACATTAATCCAACATAAATCCCAATCATAACATCCATGTTCCAAACCAGATAAACTGGCCCACTAACCCAAAGCATGACCAGACTCAATGACTAATTGATGCCCAAAAGCTCAAAGGCCCAAAACAAATTCAAGTCTAACTGCTGAGCGTACGCTTAGCGTACCACCTTGATACGCGCAACATACTGAGTCCCTGGGCCTTACGTGCTGCATACGCTAGGTTACGCCCAACGTACTAACAGATTAAGCACTTTCTCCATTAAGTGCTTAATACTCGATTTTCTCACGTCCAAAAGTCAGATCTAAGCTTATTAAGACGACCTAGGGCATAAAGTTGGCAACTTTATGCCATTGCATGTCTCATAAGTTCCCAACAATCTTATTAAGACCTTTTTAAGGGTGTTAATCCATGCATGAGGTCAAAACACCCATCATGACTTCATTTTTATGATATGAATGGACCAAAGGACCTCAGATCTAACATTTCCATCCTCTGGAGTTGCTCAACTCACAAGAGGAGGTCCAAAACCAACAAAAGGGAGAAAACTAGAAAACCTTAAATTGATCTAATGAATAAGATGGAAACATCAAAGCTTTATACCTCCAGAAGCTCCTCAATGTGAACTAGGTGCAGATTCTTGATGCCCAATGTCACTCCAAGCTTGCTTGACAACTTCTCATTCTTGAATGGACACTAAAATGGCCACAAATGCACTCTCTAAGCTCAAAAATGGTCTCACAAACTCTCTTTCTGGAATAGAAGGACGAAATAAGGCTATGAAGGTTGTCTAGGGTTAAGTCCAAGGGGCTTAAGGATGTTTAAATAGGCCTTAAGTCTGGAATTAATTTAGGCTTTGGACATCCGACACGTACACCCAACATACTTCTGGGACGCCCAACGTACTTGTTGCCCCTCCGCGATCATCCTTGCATAGTACACTAAGTGTACTTATAAGTACGCCCAGCGCACTTAAGGGGTTATTATGCTAAAATTAGATTTCTTCAAGGGTTTCAAAATAATACCTGATTTGGAGTGTTACAATTCTCTTAGTAATTATATTTCTTATGATAAGTTCACTAAGAGTCACAAAGCTTTTCTTGTTGCTATTAGCTCAAATGTAGAACCAAAGTCTTTTAAACAAGTTATTCAAAATGAAATTTTGATAATGGCTATTGAAAATAAGATCAAAGCCCTTTAAGGCAATGATATGTGGACTCTTGAATAGCTGCCAAAAGGAAAACATGCTATTGGGTCAAAGTGGTTGTACAAATCAAATACAAGCCAAATGGCAAGATCGTTAGAACCTTGCACACCATTGTCGTAAAGGGGTTTACACAAATGGAAGGTCTTACTTAGCATGACACATTTGCACTAGTTGCAAAATTGGTAACCATTAGAACCTTGCTCACCATTGCCACAAAGAAAGATTGGTTTATGCACCAACTTGACGTGAACAATGTGTTTCTGCATGGAGATCTAAAATAAGAAGTTTATATGAAGATCCCAGATAGTTTCTCAAACAAATACAGCATAGAAGTTTGTAGGTTACGAAAGTCACTATATAGGCTTCGTTAAGCATCGAGAAACTACAATAAATTCACCATGTCACTCACGAGACTTAGTTTCTAGAAATCAAAGGCTGATGCATCACTTTTTATCTACAACAAGGGAGGATTTTTCGTTGTTTCCCTTATTTATGTTGGCGATGTAATAATTACCGAGAACGACATGTCAACGATTGAGGAAACGAAGGTTTTTCTTGATAAAGAATTCAACATTAAAGATTTGGGTTATTTGAAGTATTTTTTTTGGGCAATAAGGATGTAGACGCAATTCGTTCCCGATGGAACAAAATCTAAGTTAGATCAGGGTGATGAGAGTCCTTGCGTTGATGCAAGTCAATATCATCGTCTTGTTGGAAGATTGCTTTATCTACAAGGAACACGACGAGACATTGCTTACTCTGTTAATATGTTTAGCCAATTTGTCTTTGATCCTAGACAAAGTCATATAGATGCAACTGTAAGGGTGTTGAGATACCTCAAAACAACACCGGGAGAAGGCAATTTTTATTCCTAAAAATGGACTAAATCTTGTTGCATACTACGATGCCGATTGGCTTGGCGGTGCATATACGCGACGATCATGAACCGAATACTTGATGCTTTTCGGAGGAGCTCCAGTTTCCTGAAAGACAAAGAAGCAGTCAATAGTGTCTCGCTCTTTAGTTGAAGTGGAATATCGGACAATGGCGACAACCGTTAGCGAGATTTTGTGGATGCATTGGTTGTTAGGTCTTTTACATGCACAACAACATGGTCCTACACCATTGTTTTGAGATAATCAAGCTGCGAGGCATATAGCTAATAATCCAGTTTTTAATGAAAGGACAAAACATATCGAGATGGATTGTTATTTTGTTTGAGAAATGATGGAATCTGAAGAGATTAAGGCTTGAAATGTTGACACAAAGGGTAGATTGCAGATCTTTTTACCAAAGCTTTGGGCAAAGATTGCATATGTCTCTTACTTGGCAAGTTAGGCATTTGAGATCTTCTTACTCTAACTTGAGGGGAGTAAAATATTTATTTTATTATTAGCTTAGCTTATCCTATTACGTTTTCTAAGATTTATCTTATTTATTTTTTCCTAGCTTTTAGCCTTCTGTTATGATCAGAAGATAAGTTTTGATGTAACCCTCTTATATACCCATTTTGGGTTGACTGAATGAAGTAATCAGATTATCAAATTCTTCAGCAAATGTATGCCTTTTTGAACTACCTAACACTCAGGATTTTATATATCCCGATATGCATATTTTGACCATTTTCCGCTAGCTTTAGACATTATTACAAATAATGTCACTTTTATGGAGCTAATCCCATACAAGAACATTTGGAGCGTTGCAGAATGTCCCCTAAAACATGTGAGTCAATTCAAAGATATCATTAAGCGAGATATAAAAATGATTGATCACATCAATTCGGTTGCGTTTAAACGGGTTAATATGTTAAAATATCTTATTTTTACTGTTAGAACATAAATGCCCCACTCGATCGTTAATTTCATTAAAACTAAAGAACCAAATTAGGCGACTTTTGTTGCTTCAACTATAGGACTTGTTTCATTTTTAACCAAATTATTGATTTTACTCATTTAATCGTTTAGAGATAAACACATATTTGATATAAACTTCTTTAAAAACTAAATAAACACATTTTAGCGAGACAATTTGTAGTCGTAGTACTCACGAATATACATAGCTAGCTAGGTTTACAATTTGTCCATGAAAAAAAAATAAAAACAATTAAAAATTCTCAATGAGCGAAAACCCATCTTTGTTGAATTCAGATCCTAGACCCTCAAGCCCATCAAATTCATCAAGCCCCAATGCTTCTTCAATAGCACCCTCTACATTTAACTTATCCACTAACAAAAGATCTTCCAATACTATTCTATGCTTCCTTACAGATTTCATGGTCAACGGTTTGACTTCTACTACCTCTGATGTATCATCATCCTCATCACCTATGCTAAACTCAAGCTTTCTACTACAACCTTTGTCTAAATCCTTTTTTCCATTAAGAACTTGGAGTCTCAAATCATCATTAAGACCCGGTGTTTTAGTTTTAGTCTTTGTGTCCATGGGCCCACTTTCATTTACAACTTTAGCTTCTGTTAGCCTTCCAAAATCAATCTCATCATCAAGAGGTACAATTTTAGTACTAGTTTTTGTGGGTTTTCTAAATCTTGAAGGCTTGTTTTTCATTGTGTTTTTTAGATCGAATTTAGTGGAAGATTTTTGGTGTGTGTCGAATAAAAGCATTCTATTGCAGCCTTTTTCTGAATCCAACTTATACATGTTCTTACGAGGTGACATGATAAATAAATCACATTTGGTTTCTGAATCCCAATCAGATGTCCAATCAGAAGGCCAAAAAAGTGGTTTATTTGTACCAATTTCTTCCATATCCACAACTTCTGAAGAGTATTCAGAGCTTGAACATGAAGAAAACGAGTGCTCATGCTCATGATCATGATCATGATCATGATCATGATCAGTGGTATCAGTAATTGAAGAAACACTAGAGGATTCATCATTTGCTAGCCATGAAACCACTTCTTTTTCTTCTAAATTCTCATGAAAAAACTCGAATTCTTTTCTTTGATCAAGAACTAAAGATGCTTCTTCTATAGGATTTGCTATGGATCCATCGAAGAATGTAGCTTTTGTGCTTAATATATCACGGGATTTTGATGATAATAAAGAGATAAACCACGCGTCTATTTTAACGTCTGTGTAACAAGATAAACTGTTATCATGAAAACAAGATGATGGTGATGATGATGATGCATCACCTGAAGATAACCACATGCAGTTGTTATAATCGAGTGATTCTGCTTTCCTTAAAGTAGCAGCAAATTCATCGTCTTCCTCCTTGAATGTGTCATGAGTATGAAGATTTGAAGATTCTTGACTTCTTTCCCGGAGAATAACACTTGTCATGATGATGGATGCTGTGAATTAAACAAAAACAAAAGATACAAGATTGCAGAAATTAGCGAAGAAGAAAAGGCCAAACATGAGGATGAAAAGAGCGTATAAAACTAATTCCGAGTTTATTAGAAGTAATATATATTGACCAAATATAACAGAAGAAGTCAAGAAAGAATATGAGAATCATTCTTGAGTAAAACAAAGATCATCAAAGAAGTAATTGCGATAATACTGTAGTCGCACATATCTTTAGAAGCTCAGAGGTTGAATTTAAATTTAAATTAAAGTATATGAGAATCTTTTTCCCGAAACAATTGCTTTTACGCTATTCCAAAGTTTTAGTCAATAAAATCGGAGAAAAAGATTTGTTTAAATGGAATGAGAAGCTCATCTGAACAGACTTGCCAAAAGCGTGGTGTTTTTAGGGTACTTTAATATACGAATTTGATACTCATCATTTTCCTATTCGCAATAACAATTGTTAGAATTTTATAAATTGGAACTAATCTTTTCAAAATATATGAAAATCTCTTTAGCAACACATTATCTTACACAATAACACAATAGTTTATGTCAAAAATTCAAAGAAAACAGGGAACGAAATGTCCTCCGAACGAACTTGCTGATTTTTAGAAAGCTGCTTTTGTAAAATACTCGAACATTCTCCTCTTCGCGCTACTAAAAAACAAAATTTTGTTGATATGACTGTAGGAATCTAATCAATTTTAAAAACGAAAACCGCAAATCCATAATCATATCAATTGCGTCGTATCATACTGAAAATCAGCTCTCAAGTCTGCTATGTGTATATGTATAAGTGCACACTTAAACGTAAATTTTTCTACCATTCGATCTCACAACTGCACAATCTGCAATTTTATAAACAGAATCGTGCAGTTTTCATCGAATTTGGCTCGATTGTGATTCTAAAACTATTGATTTCAACTGCAGGTAGTTGACTGAAATTAAAGTAATGATAACTTAGTAGTACCTTGTAGTGAGACGTGAAGATGTAAAGGAGTTATGGAAACAAGCTCTTGAGAGGAAGCATCGCCATTGATACAGACATCGCCGTTGTCCGATTTCCCGCGTTGGCACTATGAATGGTGGAGATGGCAATGGCACCACCTTCTTGGCTTCTTTTATTGCCATTTGAAACTTTACCCGAATTTGTCGGGCACTAAAGTAATCGTGTGCTAACCAATTCAAACGAGATAGCTATCTTGGGCCTCCGATGTGGGCCACCTGCCGACCCAAAGTATATATACCAAAATTAAAGTTAAATTGGATTAAATACAAAAAAATAAAATACATTTTTTTTATTATTTTAATATTATAATACTTTATTTCAATTTATTTTTATTGATACATGATAATTTAGAAAAATAGATTAGTTATAAATTTGAATTATGGTAATATATCATAGGATAACAAGTTTTTATTTTATAGATACACACCCCATAATATATTTTTTAAACTATTTCAATTGTTTCGTTCCACATCCAGCAAATTCGAATCAAAATCGCCTGAAAGTAATTTCAAAACGGAATTTCCTTCGTTGTTCGAAAAAACAAAAAAGTAAATACATTATATATTTATAATGTATAACTAATTTATATTAATATTTAAACATACAATCTTTATATTTCCTACAAATTTATCATCTAGAAAAAGATAAGCCTTCATACTATACTTTGACAAATTAAAGGCATTGGCATATTGTTTGTTTAATGCATATTCTTACACTGCGTCCATAGTAAATGGTGTTTGATTTTTCGTGTGTAGCCATGATCTCGGACACACTACCCAAAATAGTGGTGTTACATTAAAAGACGACGGTAAACCATTTTATTGTTAACCGGAGGAAATCATAGAGTTGCACTATTTAAATACTTACTCAGTTGTAGTCCTTCGTGATAAATGGTTGAATGCGTCATTAAGTAATAGACGTTTAATTACTAAAAACAATATGCTTATTATCAATATTAGTCATGAATGGTATATCGGTAAAACATGGTATGATGATCAAAAATACATCTTAACCACACAAACCAAACAAGCAGTTTATCTCTAAGATCCTACTCGAAACAATAACAATAACCGGAGAGTTGTCGAAGATGTTCATCATTGAAAACTTTGAGATCATCCAAATATTCATGTTAATGAGATAGATGTCGTGAACGACATTCAATCAACTGATTTTATCTTGGTTGTCGATTTAGGCATTTTTGCATATCCATACGAGTTTACATAAAGTTGGTCAATAAAGTGTGACTGCTAGGTGGAATATTGGTCCTATTAATGATGACGAATTCATTAATGATGAAGATGACGGTAATGATATATATACGCTTTAGATGATGAAGAAAAAATAAATAACAAAAACTATGACAGTGATTATGATGTTGTACCAACATATTGTTCTAGTGTTGATTCTGATTGACGGTAGATTACGGTTATTAAACATCCTAATTGTTAGGGTGCAAAGTCATGCTTGGATGTAGTGTTTTAGGTTTTCCTCTTTGTATGTGTAAATGGGTTGAGTCTTTCCTATAAATAGGAAGTGAATCTATTTGGAGTGTTAGACTAGAGAGAGAAACTTTGTACAAACTCATTTGTATATTCTTTCTAGATCTAATAAGAGCTTACAAAGATTTATTTACTCCATGTGTTCTTCATTTTACATAATGAATCACTAGATCTTTTCTAATTCCGCACATGTTATCATAATCAACACCACTACAATTGGTATCAGAGCTTGGTTTTCACGATCAACGTGACTTTTGAAGAACGATTCTCGGTTTGGCAATTTTTCAAACAATTTGATCAATTGTGGTGAGTCTCTCTCTATGATCTCTCGTAATATTTGGATTCGTGTTTTGCGTTCTTGATTTTTGATCGTTTTGATTCATTAGATCTAATTCGTTTCAAACCTCATTGTTGATCCAATTAATTTTTGTTTAGATCAAATTCAAACCAAAAACAAAATAACATTTATTGTTCATGATTCGTTTAAATTGAGCCCAACATTTGAGTGTTACTGTTCATCTTTCGTGATCCAAAGTCTCAATATTACTGTTCATGATTTGTTTAAGCCCAAATAAATGATCCATTACTGATTTGCATCCATCATCAAATAGATTCAATACTTCTGTATTCAGTCGTATTCATCTTTTCATCGATTTTTTTTTATTTCAAAGATCTCATTCTTATTTCATCAATTTTTGTTTCGATTTGGATGTGGTTGAGGATATAAATCTTGTGAATCGAGTTTCAATTGATATCCTTTTGTTCAAATCAATTATCGTGACCCGTATTCTCTCACTGTGAATCAAATATACGAATTTGTTCAAAAGATCGTTTATTGAATGATGTTTGAAGTCGATCGGTGATTTCACTTTCAGATTTTAGTCTTTTAATGATTTTGATTATAACATATCTTGGAGTCGATGTTCGATCGTGTTACTAGTTCTTGGGGTTAAATTTGTTCGACATCAGGTTGAATTAAAATGGTTATTGAATGGAAATCATCAAGCAATTAAACTGGAATCGAATGACTTCGATGTGTGTATTAGGTTATTTGATATCTTGAGGATGATTGTAAATGAAATCTGAAGGTTAATTTTGGAATCGATAGTTGGATTGACTTTCCAAAGTCAAAAGACGATTGATGATGAACAGTTTGAACTAATAATTGAAATCAAGTTTGGTTTGTTGATTCGTTTCATTTTGTGAGTTCGTAAGCTTGATTTTTGCTGATTAATATGATATCGATTGAAGTAATGAACGAACAGATGAGTTTTGATTTTGGATTCGCATTTGGTTTGTTGGTTTGAAATCAAGATCTGATTGTTCGTATGGGAAGATGATTTCGATTGTTGATGGAACGAAGCTATGAAAAATATTTGCAGATAATCGAATGGGAAATCAATGTTTGCAAAAGAACGAAAATTTGAATGGGTATACGAAGGATGCGAAGGTGATTACGGTTGTTCTTCAATTCGCATTTGATGAATCAATTTAAAGATCAATTGAGTTCGCATTTAAGGAAAAGAACGGTTCGCATATGAGATCAAAATCATTTTCGCATGTGGTTATAGAGATTGTGTTCGCATATTTGATTAATTGGGTTATAGATGCGAAACATTTATAAGAAACATGCGAAGAATCTGGAACATGCGAAGTAATTGTATAAGTGAATTGGGGAGGAAGAAAGCAAATAGTTTCAAAATTGGTCCCTGATCTTTTCACGAAATAATACAAATGGTCCAACTTCGCAAAATGGGATTATAAAATGAAAAAAATGCAGAATTTTCATTTCGCATCCCTGCAGTTTTCGCAAGATGGAAAATTTTACCCAGTTTCGCATTTGGGGTAAAAATTTTGAGAAATTGGAATATTTTCAAATCTGGTCCATGCAGTTTGTGCGAATTTACACATTCTACCCATTTTCGCAAATGGGAGTGTGTTTCGCATATTTGGATGTTTTTGGCGCAACGGGTCATTGCAAAATTTTGAAATTGACAATTTCTACCCATTTTTGAGAAATTTTGTCAAAGGCAATCCATGAACAAAGCTAAAAATTCAATATTTTTTGGATTGAATCACAAAGTTTATGCCACATGTTAAGGGGGAGTTTTGATATGAAAAATTCCAAATAGAACACGTTCTTTTTCCTTTGGAGTTTTATAATCAAATTTCGATTATAAAAAGGGGGAGAACTTTTATATGGAGATTCGAACTTGAATTTTTCATATTATGCGGATTTGAAGACCGAAGTGATCTTGAAGTTTTGAAGCCTACGAGATGATGCAATTGGAAGTTCGGAAGTGATGTATTTGAAATGGGTTTGGAATTATTAAAGATTTTTGGGGTGTGTTTTTATGCACAACTTTAGGGTGATTATTTGGAGTTTGGAATACTCTTGATCATTCATTACTGCTCGGATTGTATTGTTTCACATCCTAGAGCCCAAATTGAAGAATCATGGAAGAATTAAAGATTGAAGTTCGTTTCGACATGTGTCACCTTTGAGGCTCGAACCGCGTAGTGCTTGATTTTGGAAGATTTGAAGTGGGTCATTCATTCCTAACTTTGAGGGGGAGAATGTTGGGGTGCAAAGTTATTCATTCACAACTTTGTAAATGTTTGACTTTTGTAAAACCCACTTGCATGTGGAGTATTTGCCTTTAGACCCATTTGTTTGTTAGAGTGAGAGAGAGACATGTAAACACCTCTATAAATAGTAGGTTCATACCACTTGTAGAGGTGTGCTTGAGAGATGTAAAAGTGAGTGTGTAAGTGTGTGTTATTTATGTAGTCTAGATCTAGATCCTTTTTGTAACACCATATACAATCAATACATCTCTTGATCACCCAAATCACCATGTTCAATTGTGAAAGCTTTAATTCCGCATGCCAAACCATGTTCTTATGTCACTACAATAATGTTGGGGTGCAAAGTTATTCATTCATGACTTTGTAAATGTTTGACTTTTGTAAAACCCACTTGCATGTGGAGTATTTGTCTTTAGACCCATTTGTTTGTTAGAGTGAGAGAGAGACATGTAAACACCTCTATAAATAGTGGGTTCATACCACTTGTAGAGGTGTGCTTGAGAGATGTAAAAGTGAGTGTGTAAGTGTGTGTTATTTATGTAGTCTAGATCTAGATCCTTTTTGTAACACCATATACAATCAATACATCTCTTGATCACCCAAATCACCATGTTTAATTGTGCAAGCTTTAATTTCGCATGCCAAACCATGTACTTATGTCACTACAATTGGTATCAGAGCGGGTGTTCTTGATTTCATCAAGAATTGATCCTTGATCGATTTCTTGATTTAGTGATTCATTTTATGATCTTGGATCTTCTTGATTTAGAAAGTTTTGGATTCTAGAAATCGAATTCATCTTTGATTCTATTCATAATTCAATTTTCTTCACTAGAATTCAAGTGATTTTTACTTTCTCTCTCTAGAAAACCCATTCAAAATCACTTTCTCTCTATAAAAATCTTCAAGTTTTTGTGATCATGGTGCGTTTGGAGTATGATTCTTGGGTTGTAATCATTGAAGGTGTGAAATACGAAGTCAACGAATTTCAATTCTATGGATTATTGTTGAAAGGAGGTTTGATTTCATGGGATTCTTTTTTTTCTTATGGAGGTTTGAAAGATGATCATGGAAGATTGATATTTCAAAAAGTTTCGAAGATTGAATGTTTGTATGATCTTTTTATGTTCATGATAGCTAGTAGCAAGAATCGAGAGGAAGGAGAAGAAAGAGACTTGTTTAATAAGAGTTACATTTCTCTTGTTGAAAACCCAAGTGATCTTCAAGCTCTTATGTTTGTTGAAGATGTTCTTGATGATCATCATGTTCTTGATGTTCTTGATGTTCAAGAAAAAGGATTTCAAGTTGATTCTCATGATGAAAAAGTTTTTTTGCTCAATTGGAGTTCAAACCGATGATATATTGTGTTCTTGTGATTCGCTTGAAGGAATGTTTCCTTATCGGAAGCCGGTGATCCAAGAAAATCACAAGTATCAAACTCCAAAAGATTTGATTCAAATTCACAAAGTTGATGTTGTGAAAAGCGGGGTTGTTTATGAAGTCAAGTCTTCAATAAGCAAAAAGATGAGAAAGAAAAAGAAGAAGAAGATGAATCGGAAGAACAAGCGGGTTTACTCACAAAAATCGTCAAATGTTGTGAAGCTGAAATCCGTGAAACAAATTTGGGTTCCAAAGCAACAATCTCCAAAGGTTACATTGAATTTAAAGTCA